ACTGTCCAGATTATATGGGGGCAAATTTTTTCAGTTCTAAATGTCCCCAAGTCAAATTGTCTTTATGTTGGGGTGTCTGCGTTTTGGGGTCTCACTATATTGAAAAATAAATTTGCATAACTGTTGGAAGACAGCTTCTTGAGTCACTGTCCAGGTGTCAAGGGTAGATTGCAGTGTTTCCAAGTTGGGTTGTCCGGATGTCGGGGCATATACGTACGTTGGGGTCCCACAGCTGTACTTCAAAATACTCAACAGGCATTCGAAATGTAAAATAAAGAACTCTTGTGACGCCCTTAAAATATTTCTTTTAATCGCATATGAATGAGGGCACAGACATGAGTCACGTATCTCGTGCTCTACCTTCCGTCTTCTTTATCAGGCAATGCACCTGTGCCAAGTGCTTCTGCCCTCTCAAAAAGCACTTTCAATAGTCTATATATCTCGAGATACATGTCAAAGGGAAATCGAAACCATGGTGACAAAAAAGAGCCCTATACAAAACTTTCAATTTGAGTTGTCAGAAAACTGATGAGGAGCATGATTTTTTTTCTTTTTGAGCAAAATATATTTATGGAGAAATTAGTTGTCACACTTTCGGCTGATTTACACAGATTTAAATTTTCCTGGGAACTCAGAGAGGTGTATAAAAAAAGGAGCTTGAATCCAAGGTGGGTTTGACATTGAATTTTCATATTGTCTCTTGTAAAAGTGCTACCTACAGTGAGACCCCCACATGCAGACAATTCAACAGATGGACATTCATCTTCCAATAAAAAGGCATAAAAAGCTCCAACATGTGGACACTTATTCAACCTGTGGATATTGCATGGTAAAATCACCAGTAACTTTCAGGAAAAGCCACTTTTATCAGGCTGAATTGCAAGAAACAGATATTTCCAACACTAAGAGCTATGCCAGAAAAATTATTTGATATTCCTTACATCCTTTTCTCATCCACTCAGCTAATTTCAAAAACTTGCCTTTAGCATAGAGGAACTTCCTCCTCTCTTTTTGACTTGAATGTTATTTTTACAGATGCCAACATTTCCATATACTGTATAGAGGTACAATAATCAATGCTCCAAATGTTCTTATTGAGTTGAAAAGATATTCACTGTATCACTGAATCAAATTCAAATGGCAAACAATTTCTTTGCAGAATTCGGAAGAACTTTTTTCCATAAAACACTAATTAAAAATTATATAATGTAAGTCTGTAGGATAACCAGACTCAGCCTAGGGATATTTTGACTCAGGGACGCTCTTGATGCACCAATTACATCCTCATCTTTGGGTCTTGCTGTATTTTCAAGGAATGTTGTTTGGGACAGCTACACCCACTGGTAATAATATAATATGATATTCCTTGTCTGTCCAAAAAACCAGAGCTTTGCTCCTAGAGCCTCTCACCAAAGAACTTATCCCAGAAATGCTTGGAAACTGTATGACCATTGACTTTGTTGTCTTTGATTTTATCCTCCCTACCCAATCAGAAAACATCAAAGTATTCCAACCTTCACCAAGAAGAAGCTTAACACAACGCTTCCTAAATGATGCAATGAAGCTTTAAAAACTTGAAATCAACAGCATGTTCTCATTCAGAATCTCATTCCCATTCCTACCTTCCACAGCTTGATCCAATTCTCTGAAAATGTATGTGAATTATTGTGTGTTTGTATATATGTGAAAGAAGATTCCAAGTTGTCTTTTGGGACATGAATGAATATAATTTTCTTGGAGTCTCCATAAAGAGGGTCCCAGCCAGTCCCAGACTGATTTTGGTGTTTCACTCAAAAAATCTCTTCGTTTGAGGAAAGCCCCAACAGATGTGATTTTGCTTGAAAAATTAATGTCAATACAGTGTACTAATATGTATCTACTATGCAGTACAATTGTATTGATCAACCCCCTCAAATCATTTATTTGCAAACTGAAATACCTGGCATATCTGCAAATGCATGCATACTGTACATCAACATTCCATTACAGAAACAAATCTTGTTTCAAAACATTTTTCAATATGACCATTTTGTGGTCCTAGCACTTTTTCATAGGAACAATGCTACAGTTGAACCTCTCTGAGTAAAATTTCATTGGACCAGGACAAAATTTGACTTATTGTTGGGAGGTTTTGTCATATAGAGGTTTTGAGTTATTTAGAATTACTGTATATAGATGTTTGACTTATGGAATCAAGCATTTTCATTTTGAGAAACATTGAAGAATTGCACTAAATTGTACAAAGTTATATTCTGGGCCTTAAATTGTTTTTAGAATGAGTTTACAGGGTGCTGAACTTATTGGGGACAGGGGTTCATTTGCCCAATTTACTGTCAGATCATTTCAAAGTATATCAAATTATTTTTTTCTTTCCTGTTTCAATAAAATAGCAGCCTAATGCCTCCAAAATTTTACCTATGAGGGATTCAGAGGTAAAGCCTTTGAGTTGGAGAGGGTTTTTATCTATTGTTTCTAAGGAAATTCAGACAGGGACTTGAAAAGAATTTGACTTAGGGAGGCAGTATTTGACTTAGGGAGGTTCAACTTAGCAAGGTTCAACTGTATAATAATATCTCATTCTAACAAATAATGTTTTAGCTGGAATTACTCACTGTAACAAAACGTTTTCCCTGTTCCTATGAATTGTCCACACAAGAATTATATTTTATCATGAAATTTAAACTTGCACATCAAAAGTTTCTAAAAAATCAGAGCTTTTTGAAAAAAGTATTTCATACTGAATAGCAAAACACACACAGCATAACATATTTTTTAAATTTATTGAGACTCATTTGAAAATTTTTCTTTTTTTTACAGGAACAGTAAAGTACTGTAATATGTCAGGAAGAATCATGAGTTTTTGAAAAAAATCTCAATTTTTGATGCTATTTTTTGTCAGGTCCCTCTGATGGTTGCTTACAACAAGGTTTCACTGCATAAACATGTTTTCCTAGACTGATGGGCGCAGCGGATTATATACTTGATTCATTCATGCATCACATGCTTTGTGTGTTGCTGAGCTGCTGATGGTGGAGGGTTCTTATATACACATATATTATTGACTTTATTCCCATTGCGCCACACTGTACATCATCTATTTATATATGACACATTTTGTATTCTCTGCATCGGATCCCTTTGTTATTGACCTAAAGAAAGCCTTGGAAACGGCTTTGCAACTGATTCATTCAGGACACGCGATCCTTGAAAACAGGAGTGTTAAAGTCCGGGCCGTTGCCCTGTATCCGGGTAGCAACTCTCATTCATGAGATACGGGTCATCAAGTGGCAGTTGCAGGGGTGTTGTCGAGGGAGGAGACGAACACTGGGAAAAACACTTGGTATCCCTGGAATCTGTTTTTTTTTATTTCTATATTTGCTCCATTTTTTTCTTCTTGGAATACTCAAAAGAAGAAGCGTTGATGCTGATGGGGGAGGATATAAGAAAGGCTGCTGACAATAACAAGGGCTGTACAAACAGCTGTTTGGAAGAAAAATTTAAACGGTTTTGTTCCATCAGCAGGGATGTAACAGTAGGTAAATTATGGTTCCATTTGAAGGTTCAGAAAATTTTGTGGTGGTTTTCAGAATATCTGCCTTTTGTCCTCAGTTGCTTGGAATTTAACCACTAAAATATATTAATGATGCCATATGTAAATTAGCATTTTTGGCAACCAATCAGGATTTCAGCATGCTTGATATACAAACCTGGGGGAAAAATAAGTTGCCTGCCTTCACAGTGAGAAATATGATACCTTCAATTAAAAGTATAGTTGAATTCCATGATAATGAATCTTGTCATATGTAATTTATCAATGTAACAAACTTTTCTTGTTCCTAGCTGTTCCTTCATGGGTATAATGTAATAAAAATCTCATTTCAACAAACATATTTTAGGGTGTAATCTCATCATGAGAATTTGTTGACTGGATTCTGAACATGGGATGATGGGACATATGCAGGTAGATTTGACAAATAGAAGAATACTGAGAAGGTGCAGCATTCCCTCTAAATACAAGAATTATGATTCTTTAGAGAAAAATTGGGCATTCAAAAAATATCCTGCATGATATTATTATTGGATATTATCCAGCTACATTTTAGAATGTATGCCTTTCTTTCAAATGATCACCAAAGTGTGTCAGATTTTTTTTCTCTCCATTTCATTGACAGATAGGAATGAATGAATAAGTGCATTTAGAAGGAAGTCCAGTGTTCCTCTACCACAGGTAATTTTGTATCATTTTATTTTTCAAGACCAAAAACACTTTTGTTTAGGTTTGATGCAGGCTTAATAAAAAAAAGTACCCTTCATCCTAAGAAGTTTATCTTCAATTCATCAGAAATATCTTTCATATACTATCTGCTTTGAAAGCATTTTAAAGTTTTTATTGCCCATTCCCCACAAAATTTCAATCTAGAATGCAATGGCAACCATTCATCTGAATACAGCAAAAATTTTGTTTATACCAAACATGCTATCAGGTCCCTGGGAGTTAGTGGTTATACAATTTTACTGTATCATCTCCTAATTCAAACTAAAGATTATCCAAAACTGCAGTTTAATACATACAGTATTACAACAGTTAGTAAAATATGAACTGCAGACCAGTGATTGCAATAACAGCAGGGGCAATTAGCAAGATGTACACAAGAAAGTCACTGCAGAAATGAGCAGAAAAGTTAGTTATACTGAAAAATTAGTTGTAATTGTATTTGTTGTAAGAAGATTTCCCTGTAGTTCAATATGCCATGCAGGACTGATCCTGGCAGATCTTTACTGAATGGGGTTAGATTTTCAATATTTATTAATTGACAAGAATGATTTTAATGAGCTTATAAATGTCTCTCCTTGATCAATCACTGATATTTGTTTATCCACTGGCTTATTTCCAAAAAAATCATAATATAGGTTAATGTCATTTTGGGACAGGTTTTCCCAGAATATCAATCTTCAACATCTGAAATCAATGGTCCATCAAGCAAAGAAAATGATTCAAGAAACAATCAGATTTCCCGGCTTCATTCCACACCTTTTGATTAAATTTCTAAAGACAAGCGCAGCACAAAAAAAAGCACGACAACAAACCCCTATAACCAGCTCGGAAGTTTTTTTTTTCTCTCCAGGATTCCGAGAAAAACTCGATTAAGATAACATCAGATTCTCCAGCCAAAAAAAAGAAGGCACCCACTGGTCACCAGCTGACTTGCTTCCTTACTTTTTTTTTTTTAACCAAGTGACATTTAGAGATACCATCATGAAGGAGTGTTTGTTTCACACTACTGCTTGTGTTTCTTGACTATTTCAATGTAGTCTTCCACGTCTTCTTTAGAGCCCAGCACAATTGGACAGCGCTGGTGGATTGACGTTGGAACGACATCTAGGATCGGCATTTCCCCCGTTGTCGCCATGCCTCCAGCATTCTCCATCAGATAGCTCATTGGATTGCATTCGTACATCAGACGCAGCTTCAATTAAATTTTCAAATTATATTAAAAGATATAAAACAGGTATTTATTTAAAGTATTAAAGTACTGTATTTGTTCAATTATAAATTATTAAATAAAAAGTATAGATACAGTTGAGTAGGTACAAAACCAGAAATGATTCCTTTAAGTACAGTGACCCCCCACTTAACAGACTTCCTGCATGAGGGATTTTTGCATAACAGACCAGCTCTGCAGGCAGTTCTTCATCCTGCACAACTGACAAAATCCACCGAACAGACTTCTGTTGGTTCAAAATTAGTATTGACAATTAAAAGCTTCAATTTTATATTTGATTGAATTTGTCTAAAGGGCTTTTTGTTGCAAAAATTAAGACCATTAGACAGGGTTTGACTGCACACACTAGGGCCTCAAGATACGGACATAATTTGTGCTTGGACATCATTGTGGCATTGTCTGTACGCATCTAGAATCACATTTTCCCTCAGACTCCAATAAAATTGTATTTAACTGGTTCTGCTGTTGATCAAAACTTGGAAAAAGTTTCACAAAAATTGAAATATAATATTGTGTGTCCACTTCAATAATAAGGTATACAGTACCACACTATACTGTATACAGAAGAAAACTGTCAAGAACCACACAGTGACAAAACTTTTGGCGTGAAAAGGGACCCAACATCAAATAAAAAGCAAGATTATTCTTATATAGTGCACAAATGATGGAAATATTAAAAAAAGTACTGTACTCTATGCACAAAATTTCCCTTTTCTGGATTCGGAGTTCTACTAAACTTATGCAAAATTAAATTTTTTTGGTGAATACTCAGTTTATGCAATAAATAAAGAATTGAAATAAGAAGTTAAAATTGGCTATAGGAAATTATCTACAGTATTCATTTTCGATAGATTTATTGCAGGGCTGATTTATTGTGTTCCAAGCATGTCCAAAGTTAAATTATCCTTATACTTCACAGTGTCCGCATGTCGGGAACACATTTAAACACCGCCTTGCTTCAAAAAGTAGCACAAAAGCCCAATCATTTATTTCACCAAGTGAAAGATTTCTACGATGTCTACGTTTGAAAATATGCAGTGCACACTTATTACAGTACGGGAACTATCGTACAACCGTTAGTGACATCTACAAAACGGCGGAAAAGCTGGAGTCGTAGAATTTTACTTGAAGCGATACAAGATGTCACGAAATGAATAAGACCTGCGAAATGAATAGAATAAGACCTACCTTCCCCTTCAATGCATCTTTCGTAGCTGGATACATAAAAACACCGCCGTATTTCAGTGTTCGGTGAACGTCAGCCACCATTGACCCAACATATCGCTGACCATATGGCTTTCCTTCCTGATGTTAAAACCAAAATAAAGCAGCTTTTTTCTTTATTCAGGTAGAGCAAGATCATTGATTTCAAAACACAATACCTTGGGGAATTTGCGGCTCCTGACGTACTCAACAACAGCAGGGTCCCACAATGACTCATATCCTTCATTGAGACTGTATAATTTGCCTCTGGGCTTGATTCTCATGTCAGCATCTGTGAGGACAAACTCACCAATAGCCTGAAAATTAAAATTTGGAAGCATGCATTACCCAATACTAAATCCATATGATAATATGCTGCTTCACAAAAAAAATTAGCCCTATCATACTAATTTAAGCATTATACAACACAGTGGACCCCTGCACAACTAACCTCCCACACAATCGATTTTTGCACAACAGACTGCCTCTGGAGGCAGTTTTCCCTCAACACAACAGACTAAATCTCCATAAAAGACTTCTTTTGGTTTAAAATTAATGGTAAAAAGTGAAAAATTTAATTTTTTTTTACTTGAATGTGCATAACAGACTTTTCATGCAACAGACTAGTTTAGTGCAAAAATTAAGTCTGTTGTGTCAGGGTTGACTGTACTTGATTCATTTTCTGGATCAGTTCCTCCCACAAGAAACTTAACTATTGAAAGTGAGTGGTTCTTTTCCATTACAATAAGACAGAGACCAGATTTTTTTTTAAGTCTGTTGTGTCAGGGTTGACTGTACTTGATTCATTTTCTGGATCAGTTCCTCCCACAAGAAACTTAACTATTGAAAGTGAGTGGTTCTTTTCCATTACAATAAGACAGAGACCAGATTTTTTTTCATGTGCAGGGTCTCTTTTTGTTTTATCAAAGATAACTGAAACCCAGCCAGGCCTGACACCTGAATCTTTACAGCAGCCCAAGTCTAAGATCAGTAGTTTCAGCAGACTAAACCCAATTGGGTTATAAAATCCTTGAATTAGTTTAATGCACTAGAGCAATTTCAGAAAGAAGCCACTCAGAGAGGAATTTTATTCAGTCTTCACTCTCCAGTCAACTTGATCTGTGTTAAAGAAGAACATTACACTTTTCTTGGAATATTTCCACATTAATCAGTTTCAAATTTTCAGATTTTGACATTTTTAGATGCTGAAATTTGAAAATGGACCATGATTGATATGCTCATCAAACAGCATTTATGGTAAACAAAGAAGACATTAAAATTAAGGGAGGGTGTATTAGTTGAAATTGTGGTGCTTCATTAGTTCAGGCTACCTATTGCAGCAGATTCCATCCAGTTCTGCTTATGATCAATGATGAATCATCAGAGCAGACAAAAATAAAGTATTAAAACCCATCATATTACTCATTGCACGTTTCCTGAATAGACATGAAGAAAAGGGCTGAAATAGTTACATTAGCATACACATGCATATTGCTCCAAAAAAGAATTGTCAGCTGACAATATCTCATAAAATTAGAAAGATGAAGTACATGCCACAATCTCAATTTATATATTCAAGCATTAGTTTAAAATTACTGTAGATTACTTAGAATGTATATCCTACAACTTTTAGACCATTCAGGTCAGTACTAACCAGGGTTTGATTTGAGGTTATAAGTCTGTTGTGTCAGGGTTGACTGTACTTGATTCATTTTCTGGATCAGTTCCTCCCACAAGAAACTTAACTATTGAAAGTGAGTGGTTCTTTTCCATTACAATAAGACAGAGACCAGATTTTTTTTTCATGTGCAGGGTCTTTTTGTTTTATCAAAGATAACTGAAACCCAGCCAGGCCTGACACCTGAATCTTTACAGCAGCCCAAGTCTAAGATCAGTAGTTTTAGCAGACTAAACCCAATTGGGTTATAAAATCCTTGAATTAGTTTAATGCACTAGAGCAATCTCAGAAAGATGCCACTCAGAGAGGAATTTTATTCAGTATTCACTCTTCAGTCAACTTTATCTGTGTTAAAGCAGAATAAATTACACTTTTTTGGAATTTTTCCACATTAATCAGTTTCAAATTTTCAGATTTTGATATTTTTAGATGCTGAAATTTGAAAATGGACCATGATTGATATGCTCATCAAACAGCATTTATGGTAAACAAAGAAGACATTGAAATTAAGGGAGGGTGTATTATTTGAAATTGTGGTGCTTCATTAGTTCAGGCTACCTTGCAGCAGATTCCATCCAGTTCTGCTTATGATCAATGATGAATCATCAAAGCAGACAAAAAAGTATTAAAACCCATCATATTACTCATTGCACGTTTCCTGAATAGACATGAAGAAAAGGGCTGAAATAGTTACATTAGCATACACATGCATATTGCTCCAAAAAAGAATTGTCAGCGGACAATATCTCATAAAATTAGAAAGATGAAAATGTACGGTGTTAGAGTTAAATATATAAGTTCGTAATCAAATTTTAATGACATCTAATGAATCTTACATATAGGATGTTGAAAATCTGGTAAGTCCAGTCATGATTGGTCCCAAACTAAACTCCAATTCCTAAACAAGTTGTCATACACATAGAACAGCCCTCACAAAATTAATATTTTCTTGAAATGCACATGGACAGCTATGAGAACACAGTTTCTATACTCAGTCTTAGAACAGGACAATTCACATACTGGATCCAACATGAATCCATTGACTGATCCACCAGCTGACACCACCATCATGGTGGCAGAGCCATACAGGGCATATCCAGCAGCCACCATTTTCCTTCCTGGCTGTAGAGCTTCCTGGACAACAGGTGGTCCTTGAGCATCTGGAGATCTTTTCCAGATCCCAAAAATTGATCTAATTGAAAAAAAAATCATAAACATCCACACATATGTTGGTACTTTTTTTAAATTAACAACATATTTGCACCATTATGTTTACAGACAGTTGAAAACTTTGACTTGAGTAACCTGTGGAAGAAACATTTTTAGATAAATAACTTGACTGAACAGATCCAACTCTGGTTGATTTTGTAACAAATTTTAATGACAGATGTTTATGTCAATGTAATACCACTGTGGATAGCATCATCAAAGGAGAATACTGTACAGGGTTAAAAACCAAATGGAACTCACCCAATGGAGACCAGACAGTCAATGTTGGAAGAACCATCCAGTGGGTCAAACATGACAATATATTTTCCTTGTCTCTCAGTTTCCACCTCAATGACAGTCTCATTCTCTTCTGAGACCAGGAGACATGTTGTGTAGGAAGACCTGAGTAAGTTGATGAAAAGCTCATTGGAGAATACATCCAGCTTTTTCACCTCCTCTCCTTGAACATTGATGTCTCCAGCTACTCCAAACCTTCAAAAAAAATATTCTGCTTACATCATTCTGACCTCATACAGAATATTTAATGACAATTGATAGAAGAGCACATGTTCTAACATTTTGAAGAACTAAGATTTCCCCACATATAATTCATGTTCTGTGGTAAGGGCATTCAACTAAGTAATTTATATTACTGCAGTGATCTTATTATTGAATGGCAGGGCAGAAAATATATTTGTAAAAACCCCACCAAGTATCAAATGGTCTGCCTGCACATGTTTCCATTTCCAGTTCTTCCAAATACTGCCTGATCAAGCTGCATATTAAATAATTAAACGTTTTTATTTCTGCAATTCTTGTTCCAAGGCTGTAATCTCAATGACTCAGAGGACTCTGTTGAATCAATCCTAATGCTTCAGTTGCTGATTGCCTGTTTGGAAAATTGGGGGAATAAAAGAATTTTAATTCTATTCAGTCTAGCTCTCTATAGCATGACATCAAATAAAAAAGGTATTGATGATTATACTGGGCTGAAGGGAAGATCATCCCTGTACTGTCTGAAGTTACCATTTGCATTTCCTTTCATTGAAGATGCTATCAAATGTACAGTATAGTCAAAAAAGAGCCCAATAGTACAGTTGTAAAGTATATATACAGAATGTCAAAACAGGAGGAAATTCTCTGAAGAACTCTTCTCTGTATACACTTTTTGGGGCCCATAGGGTTCTCTCCCATGGTACTGGGTTTCTTCACAACAAAATTCTCTCCACAGCATATTTTTCTGGTCCCTTTCAATGTAGGAAGGGTCAACCTATGTGATTGGATGAGCATACTTGTGGACTCTGTCTAGAACAATCTTTTCTAGAACAAATTTCTCGGTATAAATTTTTTTTATCCCATAGGGTATCTTTCCATGTTTTAGGGCTTCTCAATCTCTTCAACATAATTCTTGTTCGAATAATTTATTTTATTTTCCCTTGGATTTTGTTGTAGACAGAGAGAGAGTCCAACATGAAGAAACATATATGAACACAATTGTGTGTGTTAGAAGATAATATACAATAAAATAAAGTATTACCTTGCAATTAGACCCTGATCCATTGGTAAACCAAGGTGAAATTGCACAGCAGTTGAGTTGCAAGAGAACATCAAATGGCATGTTATCTACATGGCATTTGATATTTCATGTCTCTGCCGTCTGCACAGGACAAATTGCATAGCAGAGGTCAAATTGAGAGTTTACCTTACAGCGAACTAAAATGTGAAATTGTGGGATGGTTGAATTGCTGGAGATGAACCCTTCTGCAGCAAAGTTGGACTTTTTTTTGCAGATTCTGGGTGCACTCAAGAATGGTATTTAAAAAAACCCATGACAGTGTGTGGAGGGCACAGTTGGGAAAATTCTGGTATTTTTCAATTATTTTTGCTTGGAAATGAAAAAGTAAATCTTTTGGCTCCCTTTTTTTTCCCCTGACCTTGTGTTGTTTCCCCTTTCAAAGATTAAATTCAAGCTTGAAAGCCAGGAGCCCAGGTTAGAGGTCAATATGGAAAATTTTCAACTTGACTTAGGACTTCTGCAGCATTTCTTCATTCACCTATAAAATCCAACTTTGCCCTCCCCCCCTGGCAAGGGTTGCATAACCTTGTGCAAAAATTGCATCCATGCCCATGGGGAAAAAGTCTGACTTTGCCATGGTATGGAAAGGAGGCTGCTGCCATCCAAGGGTTAACCATTGGACAGGAGAGGGTTCTATCCCATAGCAAGAGTCCAATTATTTTTGTATCCTCCCACATTTTCAGATTTTTGAAGATCAGGAAAACCCTTTCAGGTGGGCTGAGGCAAAGTTGGGATAAATCCAAAAGAAGTGGGTAGACTAACTGAGTATTTTTTTAATGTTCCAGCAAAATTTTATGCGCCCAGGGAAAAAGACATCTGAATTCTTCCCAACTTTGCCCTCAACCCCCTGTTGACATTTTTTTCTTCACCTTGCTGAGGTGCAACGAAATTTTGTGAAAATAGTCCAACTTCGCCATCCAAGGGTTACAATTGCCAAGTACCACCTGTACTGTACTCACAATTGCGAAATTCCAGCCTTCCTCACTGCAGAACTGATAGCTTTCAGACGTCAAACTTACCTGTGGTCCTCGACCCAGTCCAGTGGACAGCGGGGTCCGTGAAAAGCGACAAGACGGTTGCACTTAGAGCAGTCCCAGTATGTCAACCATAGATGGGGTGGTCTTCTTCGGTAAGCTGCAAGCTCTCAAAATTTTAGTTTGTATTTTTTTGCACACCGCGAAACACGAACGCGACACAATATCTAAAAGAGCCCCGAAAGCTCAGACGGAACTAAATATATTGGCACGCGACTTCCCGGATTTTCCCTGTCTGAATGGCAGTGAGAAGCATCACGGGTTCAACCTGCGCCACGCATGTTTTTCCCATGCACACCCTCCCGAACCTGGGCCCATGTATCCCAGCTGATGGGTAGTTGGGTACACAGTACATCCAAGCAGGGTACACCATGTGGAATCCTGAGCTACCCGGGGGATCGAAAATACAAAAAAAAAAAAAAAAACTTTCCAACTAATGCACTCACTACATCCACACAACGAGGCTCTTTATTACTGTGTCCCAAAGCAGGGGATGAAGTGGTAGTTGAAACAACTTGCCAGTGAGAACGTTAAACAGTGACTAGACTCACTACTGTAAATAAATCTTCTTTAGTAAACCTTTTCCTTCGTGAATAATGCTCGGTTCACTGAGGCGAGAGGGCAATTGAGAAGACTGAAATAATCCCCCAGGATAAGTTAAAAAATGCGGACAACACCATCTGATTTCCATAGTTACGCTTCGAGTCACAAGAAAAAGCAACAGTATAAGCATCCACTTGGGTATCGGTTCACGGTTTTCTCGGAACAAGTCCTTGAGTGATATCTGAAGTCAGGGGATAACATCTTTCTTCCGAAAAAGTTGAGTTGATTCGATCTTGTTCGTAATGAATCAGGTTTTTTTTGTGGTCGCAGCTATTTTCCTAATGGTTGTGTTCGAATTATTTTTGCCTGTTCCCTCGTGGAAGTCGGGAGGATTTTTTTGAGAGGGAGACCTGAGATTGGAGCGACATCTGGAATTGTTCAGGAGCGATTAAATGAACCTACTAGACAATATTCGTCGCATCCACTACGAGCAGTGAGGGGTCACAACGGGACCGAGCGTTTTGTAAGGGAGAGATTGACGGTACAGTTTTCAACACGCGAAAACCCCCGTAGACCTCGTTTAAAAAAAAAAAAACTACAAAAGTACAGCTAAGGCAAAGCAACTCGCATAGGGAAAACAGGCTGACAGGCCAACTGATGCTCATCCACTGAAGAGAAAGTTAATGGAAATTTCCATATTACACAGATGAATTAAAATTCTATTGAGGAGGATTCGTCATCAGTTAAAAATCAGGCATTTGACCAGAATAAGATCTGTCAGTTACTGTTAGGGCATCTTAGAATATAAGTAACCAACTCAGTCAGACTCAGGTATACCATTAGCAAAGGGTAAAAGTCAGTTGGAAACCTATGCTGCACCTCATCATCAGAAATTGGAATTGAGAGTGACATCAGTGGAACTGCTGATAATCAAGAATCATTCTCTTTTTCTCATTACTATACATAAGATACAAGTAAATGTGGTACCTGTGCGACACCAAAAAATTGGGGGTGATGGAGACAGACCTCACAAAAAACAGCTTCCCAAGATAAATTGCTATTTTCAAAATGATTCTTAGGATAATGTAGCATTCTATTTATATCTTGCAAAACCTGTGATTGAGAAAGTTCCAGAAAATTATATGCTACAACATGTGCTTTTTATCAACTTCAATTATTTTACAGAAACTTTTACAATAATTTTATTCTTCAGTTGAAAAGTGGGGAAAATTATATATTTTATATAGATTATGAATTAAATGCAAATGTCACTGTGATATCTCTACCCTGCTCAAATATAAATTAGAAAACATTTTTATACTGTAATATATTAACAGAAAAGCTCAAAGGAATATTTTACTATGACCTTAGAACAGGACTACCATGTTACTGCATTCAAACTGTTTTTTTTTCTTCGCAAATGTCAAGGCAAAAATCTGAAATTTACAGCCAAAAAACAAGCTCTCTGGCTCAGAAATATGCTCCAGTTTTTAAATAGTTTGAAGCTTTGCTCAAAACTGCAGAAAGTAGAACTTCACATGCTATCTACAAAATGCCCAACTTTCTGCAAAGCTGTAATTTGTCAAAGGTTACAGGTGTGTTAAAAATGTATTGTAACTTTGTGAGATACTATTTCCTAACACTCTTGATGAGAGATTCATAATGTAATGACATGTTTTTGGAAATATGATACTAATTAGCATTTAGCATTTTTCAGCAAAGCATTCTGAAATCTGACAATACTGCACAGTATTTGCTGTTGAGGATGAACTTTTGCTGTGACAAAATGGACATAATGGTTCATCCATTGTTCACATCTTCACATACAGAGCTAAAACGTGCTTGCCCATAAGTTTACTTCAATGCAGAGCATTTTCTGCTGAATTTCTGTGACGCATGATCAAATGAGAGGGTCCTGGCCCCCATCAAATTACACAGCATAAGTACTTTTTCTGGAACTCCTCAAAAGGGAACTCTTATACATTGCTGTGTCACCCTTTCCAATTGTGATGAATGAACAGCTGAAGGTTTTAATGTGATGAGAAAATTATACTCCACAAGGATGACATTCGTGTATCTGATCAAAAATAGAGTTGAGAAACAGGGCTACCCTTGAAGCCTTATGCTGGGGCATTATTGAAAGCAATAACTGACATGGTGGCAAATTGGACCACATTAAAGGTGGATGAAAACAATTTATTTTGTTTATTCTATCCTGTGGCTTTGAGGAAATTACGCAATACTGCATTCACAAGGTCCAAAACATTCCCCCAAAACACACACAAATATCCCTCCAAAATTAAGAATAAGAACTAAATGCATGAATTTATTGATTTTTTGACAAAATTGCACAATACCCCAATATTAGTGATATCAATAACCCAAAGCACAATTTATTCCTCCCATTATTCCCACTTGATAAAAAGTTGATTGAAAACTTAAGAAGGAATCTTCGATAATAAATTATAAATGGCTAACAATTATTCCTGGTCCCCCAGGATTTAAGAGAAAACTGGTTTGTTGTGAGAATCCTTCAAAGTTTGGTTCTGATTGTGAGGAATATTGGGCATAAAAAAGATGTTCAGCAGTGATGCAGTAATCAAAATATTTACACTGCAGAAATTACACCACTTGGACACTCTTGAGAATGTAAAAAATTCATCAAGGACTGCATGTAAAATGGCAGCTGAGGTGAAGTTATCATTCAATTATTGTCAATAGTCCATACTACCCTCCTGCCAAACGCAGTCCTCCCTGGATTTATTGCAAACATGCCTCCATAGCAATGTTCCAAAACAAAAGAGGGTTGGCAAAAATTTATGGAATAATTTGCAATGGAATTTTTTTTTAGGTGATAAAGGTAAAGGCCACTTTTGGTTAAACCATAAGATTAGCCTTTATCATGATCATTCAGGGTAAAATGCCCATTTAGAAGATTATACTCTTCAAAATGTAGATTTGGTGGTCTGAGTTGTTGAACAATAAAAATCTCTAGAAAATATATCTACTTGAAGTGATTTGGGGGAATTGAACTTTCCAGGTGTTAGATATGACATAATTTTTTATGTGAAATCAAAATATAAAATATGAGCTCTTTTTGTGCATGTATTACAGTCAACCCTTTTTATAATCAAATTTCAAGGAACGAGCAAGAAAAAGACTTGGGGAATTTTGAATTAGAGAAAAAAGCGTTATTGCTGTGTTAAACACAGATGGCAATTCTTAAAAGGTGATATTCTTGGCCTGTCTTGGATGATCTGTTATAAGCAGCGTAGGTGATGCTCGTCACTCCCCAGTGTTGCCCTGGCTCGCAAAACATTCCCTCTCTAACTGCCATGTCAAAAGTTGTGCGCTTTTGGGGGCATCTGGAGCAACAACAAAAAAACTATAAAAGTACAGCTAAGGCAAAGCAACTCGCATAGTGAAAACAGGCTGACAGGCGAACAGCTACTCATCCAATAGAGGGTAAATTAATGGAACTTCCCATATTACACAGATGAATAAACGTTCTATTGGGCAGGAATAGTCATCAGTTGAAAAATAAGCATTTGACTGGCGTAAGATCTGTCAGTCACTCTTAAAGCATCTTAGAATATAAGTAACCAACTTATAGTCATGTATAACATTAGCAAATGGGGTGAAGTCAGTTGGAAACCTATGATCAGAAATTTGAATTGAGAGTGACATCAGTGGAATAATTAAGAATCATTTTCTTATTCTCATCACTGTAAATAAGATAGAAGTAAATGTGGTATACCTGTGCAACACCAAAAAATGGGGGCGATGGAGAGTTGGAGACACACCACACAAAAAACCGCTTCCCAAGATAAATTGATATTTTCAAAATAATTCTTGGGAACATATATGTAGCATTTTATTTCTATCTTGCTGAGCCTCTGATTGAGCAAGTTCAAGAAAATAATGTTCTACAAAATGTGTTTTTTATCAATTTCAATTATTTTACAGAAACTTTTACAATACTGCAATTTTTTTTTTAAGTTGAAAAGTTGGGAAAATCATCTATTCTATAGATAGATTATGAATTAAATGCAAATTTCACTGTGATATCTCTATACCCTGCCCAAATATAAATTAGAAAACATTTTTATAATATATTAACAGAACAGCTCAAAGGAATATTCTACTATGACTTTAGAACAGGACTAACATTCTACTGCATTCAAACTGTTTTTTTTTCTTCACAAATGTCAAGGCAAACATCTGAAATTTAAAGCCACAAACAAGCTTCCTGGCTCAGAAATATGCTCCAGTTTTTAAATAATTGGGAGCTTTGCTAAAAACTGCAGTAAGCAGAGCTTCACATACTACAGTATCTTCAAAGCGCCCAACTTTCTGCAAAGCTGTATTTTGTCAAAGGTTACAGGTGTGTTGAAAATGTATTGTGAGATACTATTTCCTAACATTC